GAGAGAGAGAGAGAGAGAGAGAGAGAGAGAGAGAGAGAGAGAGAGAGAGAGAGAGAGAGAGAGAGAGAGAGAGAGTTGGATTGTACTATTCATCGCCCCAACTGCAATTCGAAACTGTATCGTGGTTCAAAGTGCAATTATAACTCTTTACTGTGCATCCCGCGTAGTTCCGCAAACCAAAGCTCAAATGAGAAACCGTGCCTTCTTGGTGGTATTGGAATCTAAACCTATCAACGAAAGGAAGGTTACCGTACTTAGCGTACTAGATGTTTCGAAAACAAAGTGGGTTCCAAAACAAAGTGGGTCAAGACACACCAGGTTTGACAGCAATAGGCGTGATGACTCACAGATGTATGAGGCATAGAGCCAAGTTTTGCAGGCAGATCTCAAGTATACATGGCATTCAATTTGTAAAGTGAGAGCCCTGGGCCTTCAGCTGAAGTTCGCTGAAGTCCAGGGCTGAGATCGGAGGGCTCCAAATTGAATGGCTTCATCTCCTGTGTTCCAATGACATATGCTATGTGTTGTTTTGAGAAAGATATGGATATGATAACAACGTGCATTGCTTGGCCGAATCGGATTCCTGTTTGGCCTAAGAAAGGTATGGATCTGACATGCTTGCCCGCATCCCTGTTTGGAAGACTCACTTCATGTTTGGTGAGAATGCGTCATCATCGCGAGAGGCTTCTGGCCCTTCTGGGGTTAAACAACATATCCTTACAGACAGGATGTATGCATTATGTAGTGACGAGAAACAATTTTATATTTTATGTCGTGAAACAAGCACATAGAGCAAAGGACCCTCACAAGTCACCAAATCAGTCTCCTCATCACGAATCTGCCTCAACTTCCCCTCAAGTATTTACTTGGTTTCATCGCCCACGAGATCTTACCCTCTAAACTCAAAGTTAGCATCGATGACCTAAAGGACCCTTCGGCCACCCCATTTTTCACCTCATCACAGAGTTCAATCGATAGTTATCGACGATCGCCCGACACTTAGCCACACTCGGGATGCCTCTGAGTCCTCATGCGGAGTCTGACGCGACACGTCAACCGCGTCAACACTGTCGTCCACAGTGGCTTCCACATTCTTATACGCGATGCCTGCATGTTTGCACAACGCCTCAAGCCCGACCTTTTAAGTTTGCTGCAATGCCATGTAATCTCTTGCTCTCTTCTTTTACACATGTCTATCTGTCATTCGCCTTCATCATCACTTCCCCCATTCTGCGCATTCCTAGTTGGCGTTAACCGTGGTCTTCCTCTTTTGGGCGTCTTCTGTCAAGTTCTGTGCACTGCCCGCCGCTGCCTCTAACTTACTGCTGAGGTTGGTACCACCCGTCAGTGGTGCCTCAGGTTCAGCTTCGCCTCTCGTTTCTTTGCTTTGCTTCTAATCTCTTCGATTCCCCGTCCGTGCTCCTCTTCAAGTTCTTCAAAACCTTCACTTCTCGCCGAGTGCCGAACTCCACATCTTTCATCTTCCGCAACTCCTCCCTGAGTACCCCGGTTGGTGCTTCTTCCACCTGGAGCCCGGATTTACCCCGATTATCACATTCTGGGGTCGATGTCGATGTCGATATCGATATCGTGCCCCTTTTGTTGCCGGGTGTTAGTGCTTCGTGCATCCATACCTGTTTTGTTTCCTTCTCCCTCGTGAGCAGTCCGACATCTGTCTGCAGTCCACCTAGCAGGTCCTTGTCAATGTCTCTACCCGCCTTCAACGCCTGCAGCTCCTTCACAACTATCCTCATCTCATTCTCTATCGGATCCCTCGACGAGCAGGCCTTCCGTCTTAAGTCCTGGTTTTCTCCCAATAATCGATCAACCAAGCCTTCGTTGCTCATTGTCTCCCTCTCCGACCTCCTCCTATATTCTTCATTCAAGTTCTCTCTTCTCAACTTAGTCAGTTCATCGTCTTCCCTGCCAGAACCGCTCGTCTGCCCGGCCGTCGTCATTACCAACTTGCCGCCCGCTGGTAGGACGGTCCCATACATGCTCACAAGCCTTCTCTCGAGTCTATCCCCAATTTTCTTGCTTCGAGGTCCTCCCGTTCCGTTCTTTCTGTTCTTCCTTCTTATTTCTTTCTTTCTCCTCCTCTTCTCGTTTCTTGGCCTCGTTTTCGTCCTTCGCTACGGCTTTGTCCACGTAAGCAGCAACATTTATCCCGAGTCTGTCTCCATTATCCTGTCCTTTGTCCCTAACCTCCCTCCCCGCAGCATATGGGGCAGCCGGTGTCCAAAGAGCAGAGCATAAGTCGTGGCGGCATACGTCGGACCAGCACCCGGTGCCGTAGGTGGCAGAGCAAGTAGCGGAGTATTCACCGCAGCAGTAGTGTTTGCTGCCGTTGCTGGCGTCCTTCGAGGGTGCGTACATTCCCTTGGGAAACGTCCTCTAGCGCCGCAGTTATAGCACGTCCTCACGAAAGGAAGATGAAAGATGCCGCCATCTTCCTTAGTTACGAGTACCAACTGGCAACAATTGGCAATGTGCAACCACTGACTCACTGAGCCCGTACTCCAATTCCTACGGCGGCTACTCGCACGAAGTAATGCTAATACTTGATAACATACTGACTCAATGAGAGCATATACACGTAATTGTAGAAAGCGGAAAGCAGCTCAATTCACGTGAACGCACAAACCACAAGAAAACACACCATTCTCAGAAACTAGTACACACTATCGATGAGAAGAAAGAGATTGTCAGAGAGGAAGAAGAGGAAGAAGATAGTCAACAAAGCAAGTTCTCCCGAACGCGACCCTGACAGGTCGTGCGAAAATAAATAAATAAATAAAAAAATAAAATAAAAAAATAAATAAAAAAATAAATAAAAAGTTCTCCCGAACGCGACCCTGGTTCCACATTCAGTGTCAAGGATCGAAAGGAACCAGAGAGGAGTCCCCCGTTCTATATATACGGTATACCATCAAAGTCCTCATCCCGTAAAGAGAAGGACAGATACAATAAAAAAAGGAGTTCAAGACCACCAGAATAAAGCAAGACAGAAAGCTTTTAGCCAGGTAGACTAACGTGCCCCTTCCAATCCTCCAGAACGCGAAGTACCCCCTTCCAACGTAGGACGCTGGGCCCAGTTCCCAGCACTGCTCCCGACGGGCAAAAAAAAAAAAAAAAAAAAAAGAAAGCTAGCCTCCCACCACCAAACCGGAAACATTTGCTAAAAAGTATTGTGACAATTCTCCTCCATCAGCAAATGCACGGGAACTGGGCCCAGCGTTCATCTTCACCCCCCCAACCCCCAAACCCCAACCCCCAACCCCCACCACCACAAAAAAAAGTACATCTTTAGGAAGAACATGCTTCACGAGCTTGTCATGTTGTAGTGAGGCCACCATGTTCCCCCATACGCGCTACTATAGGTGGTCCTCCAAAGGCCTGCTTATTTAAACTGTGGATCACCTCCTACCTTGCCCTCCGCCAGTCAGCAGGAAACCAAAACGAAGTACGGCGGCTAACACAAGCCAGCCGCCCAGCGACCGAGCTGTTTGCTTGCTATCCTCAGAGACTAAGTTTTCCAACAGCGTGACACTGTACTGCTTTGCCTGATGCAGGTGGAACCGTGGGACCTGAATGTGGAGGATCCGCACCACTGCAAGTCGTTCTTCAACAGAATCATGTGGAAGAGGTCCAAGAACTGCAAGTGCTGAAAAACGATCAGCAGAGGTCGGGAACGACTTGTGGGCTGTGGGCGTTCCCCAGCTCTGCTGAAAAAAATCGACTCGGAGCAGCATATTACCCACACCACACACATGGCTTCGTGACCTTCGTCCGTACTACCGGTAGACTGCAGTAGTCAATATTATTTGCTTTTTCTGCAAAAAAAACGGATCAGTACTCGAGGCTCGGAGTATCAAAGATGAGGTCCAACGATGATCCCGGGGCCAGTACCAGACTTCCGCTTAGGGATGCAGAATCATGAAAGCTGGAAAAAAAAGGGGTCCAGCCTCCAATTATTTCTGTGAACAACGATGAGAGATAGGACGAAACAAGATTGTAACAGAGAAAACTGAACCACAAGACGGGCTATTAGGGCTAATACATGGTCAGATGAGGATCGCTAAACAAAGAAAGAAAGAGGTTAGTACATCATGATAGATACAGAAATGAAGGTTGCCAATCACTAACATGATATAACCGTTCATAGAATCCAGAGAAATAGATGTGGCACGTGTGTGGGTGTTAAGGGGAAAAAATAATAATAAATCCACAGAAATAACCTCTTGAGTTTTCGCAGCGTACACGATATGTTGCAACTTATAAATTGTAACTGAATTTTTGTAAAACTGATTTTGCTATATCATTGGGTATCATTGAAAGCAAAAAAAAAGTACATGGAAATACAAATTGAACTTACGTCGAAAAGCCATCGAGCTCACAGCGCTTCTCCACCGACCCCCTCCCCACTTCCCCCCTCTCCCCTCCCCCCTCCCCAACCCCGTCAAGTCGTTTTTTCTTTTTTCCCTTTTCCCCGTTCAGTCAATTCCTCGCCCCCAAAAGTCCAACAGAATGAGCTCATAGCAAAATCTACCATTCTCGATATCAAACAGGGGGATCGTAAAAAAAAAAAAAAAAAGGAAAAAAAAAACAGGGGGATCGGAAAGCAAGCCATTGCAGCTCACCTAGAAAACCTGCCAAGCGACACAAATCCACCCTCCCGCTGTGGGCACTGTACCAGCTCGTGAGTCCCTCCCAGACAAGAGGGCACACCCTCCCCCTCCTATTCCATCCTCACCCTCCTCTCCCCCATCCCACCTCAGCACACCCATTCCCCTCCAACGGAAGATCATCGCCGGGAGATGAGGGAGGGAGTCGAAGGAGGGAGATGAGGGGGGAAGCGAGGGAGGAAGATAAGGTGGTTTTCTGCCAAATTTCTGGGCATTACTTCACAGAGACAGAGGTTGCAAACTTGGAAAGCAGAGCAGTTAAAACTTGAAAAACGTTTTCGATGAACCTTTCGTATGCAGGAAGCCTTGCGAAAGTGATATTGCCGGCACCTCTCAGAGAAAGACGAAAACACGATGTTTTCTTCCTCTAGCCCTTCCAGCACATGGCAAGATGCCACCACGCAGGCATTTCACAAAAGTACGGAAGGGCTTCTGGGAAAAAAAAAGGAAAAAAAAGAAAGAAAGAAAAAGAAAAAAAAAGAGAATCGGGACTAAGACTTTACCCGCAAAAAAAAAAAAAAAAAAAAAAAAAAAAAAAACATTATTGTGATGAGGTGGTCCTCTATGCATTCCTTCAGTGAGGCCGAAGGTGCAAAGCAAAATAATGAAAACTTAAAAAAATATTTTTTAAATGAACCTTTCGTACGCAGGCAGCCTTGGTAACGTGATATTGCCAGGCACCTGTCAGTGAAAGGCGAAAACAGAATGTTCTTTTCCTCTAACCCTTCCACCAGAGGCAAAAAGCCACCACACAGGCATTTCACAAACGTACCGAAGGGCATCCAAAGAATGCAGCCAAGAAGAAAAAAAAAAAAAAAAAAGCAGCCAATAATCCACTTGTGAAAAACATTATTATTACGAGATAGCCGTCTATACATTCCTGCGCTGTGGCAGCAGGTGCAAAACAGAGTTATCGTAGTTAAAATATATATATCGTCAAATAGAACTGCCCGGTATATATATATATATATATATATATATATATATATATATATATATATATATATATATGAGTCG